TAAGTCGCTGGGCTCCCATGTAGTCAACCGTGGTTCATGTCCCGGACCCAGTGGCTTAAAACTCATGCCAGGTGCATGTGCGTGCATGCCCGAGATCCCGAGAGGAGAATGGAGGAGAAGGAATTGCAGTGTGGCCATCCCCTGTGGGGGGGTGATTTCTCACTTTCTGTCTCTCTGTCTCTCTCCATCTGTCTGGCAAGTGCACACGTCCTATAGCAAAAACCTCTTCAAAAAAAAAGAAAGAAAGAAAGAAAGAAAGAGAAGAGAAGAGAAGAGAAGAGAAGAGAAGAGAAGAGAAAAGAAAAAGAAAAAGAAAAGGAATTTATTTAGTAAGGCCAACACCAAGGAATGTAGACCTGAGGCCAAGACCTTCTCCAAAGCACTGGGTCGAGTATGGAGCTTATGTGAGAGAAAAGGTCAGTGTATGTGTCCAGTCAAGAAGCAAAAAGGGCAAGTTAACTATTGTCTTGAGTTGAAACTATAAGGAGGTCTGGTCATTGTCTCTGGACAAAAATCACAAGGAGGTCTGCAGGACTCTGGGAGGCCATTATTGCTTGAAGGGCAGTTTCTGTTCTAAGTATAAAAAGTTTTCCTGTCCTGGCCCATTTCAGGTCTCCTGCAATGGACTCAGAAACAGTGATCAAGGAGAAAGTGAAAGGGAGTCAGTAAAGACAACTATTAGAGCCTTTATAACCATGAGAGTTACATGTGGTTTTGCAATGGTTAAACTGATCAAATCTTCTCAGCTGGTCACGCAGAAGGAGACTGGTGGTGCCTTTCCCTCCCTGTCACCATACTCGTGTGTATCTGCAAAGATTACTATTAACTTTTATTAGTTGGGCATTAGGTTAGATCTATTGTGAGAGGTGAAAGAATAGGCTCTGTAAGGTCTGTTGTGAGGGAAGTGAAAGGCATTAAAAACTGGTTTTCCTAAGGGTTAATCTGTTAAGGACTGCAAGACTAAGTACAACACAGAGTCGCTTTGGTTTTCTTATGGATCTACTACAGTCACAAGCAAGAAATATCAGGGCTGGATGAGACAAGACATTGATTTTCCTATGGAGTCCTTGGAGGGAATACAACCCTGCTGGGTTTTAGACTTCTAGTCTCCAGAACTCTGAGAAATACATTTTAGGTAATGGTAGAAATGTAACAGCCCAATTTCTATATTGCCAAAATCCCTCCCCAAACTTTCCTTTAAGTGGTTCCAATCACTGATGAGTGTGGTCTATTAATTACTTAGCTAAGAGTAATAGTGATGTGTGGGAGGGCCGGTAGGTGGCACGGTGGTTAGGACGTCTGGACTCCCACATGGCTGACTGCAGTTTAAGTCCTGGACCTGGCAACTTTCTTTTTCTCTTTATTTCTTTCTCTCTCTCTCTCAGGTCAACTTCAAAAAAATAAAATAAAATAATGGCAATGAATAAAATTAAATAAAATAATTCTTTAAAAAAATTAGTGATGTGTATGGACAAGCAAGTAGCGTGTAGTGGTTAAGGCACTGGACTCCCACATGTTCGACCATGGTTCAAGGCCCAGATCTTGTGGCTTGAAAATCATGTTATGTTTTTTTCTGTGTGCATGCCAAAAAATACCAAGAGGAGAATGAAGGAAAAGGGACTATGACATAAGTATCCCCCTAGAGGGTGCTTTCTCACCTCTCTCTCTCTTTCTCTCTCTCTCTCTCTCTCTCTATGTCCTCCTCTCTGACAAACTCACAGGCCCTATAGCAAACACCCCCCCCCAAAAAAAAATGATGTGTGGATTCTATCGGTCGTTTCCCCTTTAATTGTAACAATTCCTTCATAAGAAGTTCTCCTCCTGGATCCCTTGGGTTATTTTGTTATCCTAAAATACAATTTATACAAGAAATACAAAGAATACGTTTTTAATTCTCCTCTCTTAATTGTCGTATTTGCAAGTAAAGAATTGATCATAATAATACTGTCGTCAGAAAAGTCATGACAACTTTGCATAGAAAAACATAGAAAGTACTTTGTGATTTTCCTGATGATCCAATCATTTAAATCTTTATTTGTGCCATTGTTTATCTAACACCTAAAAATTTATATTATATAAGAAGATTTTAACAATAGCACAAATAAGGGTTGAAACTTACTAGACTGTAACCTCTATAGAGTGGGAAAAAAATCTATCTACCTTCTTGGCTACCTCATCCACAGTGCCTGCCACAGGGTAGGAGCACAAATATGGTATTTTAATAAACAAGGACTTCTACTATCCCTGAGAAATCCCAGAGTCCCAAGAGATACATGGAGTCTCTCTTCTGCTTGCCTTGTTCTTTGATCACAAAGCAGTGAAACTACTTCAGGGCATTTTCCCCCAGCCTAAAAGCAAGGAAGCAAAATCCTCTCAGGCAATATCAGCAACTCTTTGTGAAGAGAACCAAACTTTGAAGGGAAGGGATATCAGGGCTGCTAAAGTAGAGTCTCAGCATTATTTTACGATTTTTCTCACCATCTTCTTAGGATGTCAGAGTGAGGTGAGACTTTGGCTGTCATCTAGTCAAGTTTGTTTGATTTTGTTTGTTTGTTTGTTTTCAACTTTGTTACAGGGTAGTGCACTTGCCAGAGAAAGGAGGAAAATAAAAAAGCATTTGCTTCAAACCCAGGGAACATGGCCATTCCACAATCCTTCTCCATTCTCTTCTCAAGACTTTGGGCACATACCCACACATGTGCAGTGTGTCTTCCAAGCCAACTTGGTCTGGGACTCAAACTGTAGAGTTGGCCATGTAGGATCTAGCCACCTGAATCTCTATGCCACCGGCTGTCCCTAGTCCAATGCTTTTAAACCATGAAAATTAAAAACAGCCACCACTGCAATAATAAGTATTATTATTATTATAATTTTTGAGAGAAATTTTTGCTATAGGGTACATGCACAAGACAGAGACTGACAGAGAGAAATCGCCCAACAGGGGAGATGCCCATGCCACAATCCCTTCTCCTCCATTCTCCTTTTGGCATTTTCTTCTTTACTTTTTTTTTAGAATTATTTATTTAATTTCATGTATTATTATATTTTAATTTGCTATTAATTATATGAGCTCATCAGTGAGAGAGAGAAAAAGAAAGAGAGAAAGCAAGCTAACAGGTCCAGGACTCCAACCACAGTCAGCCGTGTAGGAATCGAGAGCTTCAACTACCAAGCCACCTGCTGGCCCTACCTCTTGGGATTTGGAGCATGCATACACACACACCCAAATGCAGTCAACTGCACGAGAGTCCAGTGACACAACCATTACACTATCTGCTGGTCCCTTGGGACTGTTTTTCTTTTTTAATGTTTAGCTTTATATTTCACTCCCAATCTACTGCACAAGATCCTCTAGTGGAAACAGCCTGGGAATCTGCATTCAGGATTTTTCCAAATGACTCTAATGAAGGATAATGTCTGAAAACTGGTGCTTTAGCATTCTCCAAATCCAGTACAAGCCCTCATCCATGTCATACTCCATTGGATGTTTAAAGACAGCTCTTCTGTCCCCTTCCTCTTATTAACCTGTGGTGTTTCTTCGTTTTAGATTAAACAGCTATCCAGTTGGTCAGCTTGTTTTCTCTAAATGCATCTCCATTCTTTCTCTTTCCTCTTAAAGCGATCTTAGCTAGAGAGCAAGCCTCTACCCAAGAGTTCTCTAAAACCCTGCAGACCTTTTTGAAAGTTAGTTACACATACAAAATTCTGCTCTTTTTCCCTTTGCACAGTCCCTTGAGAGGAAGTTCAAAGACTGTAATGTTGTCTTATTCTTCAGGCCTATGATCTCTGAGTAGAAAATACACTCAAGCTGAGCGTTTCTGTCCTGTGTGTTTTTGCTCTGTTAGAGACCAGACAGAACATCTGTATATGAACCTCCAACAAACAATCATATAAAAAACGATGTGTGATGAGAAGTCAAAGGGCACAAAAGAGCTTGTCAAGTGAAAGAAAATAATGTAAAAGGCCTATTGTCAGAGTGTGTGTTAGGCAAGAGATAAGTAGCAATAGAAAGAATGTTTTTTGCTAGAGCTCTACATAACATACAGCCTGCACTTGAACCTGAGTGGGCTGGGTTTTGTTTCACTAAACTGAAAGGGAAAATGGTGCTTTAATGATAGCATGTTCACTGAAAGATGATCTATTATGTAGATGATCCATATTAGCTAACTGATTATGTTACTGTGTCTTCATTTATTATTATTAATTTGTTGTAGGGCATGTGTACTCATCAGAGAGAGACAGAGAGAGGGAAAGTGAGAAAGCACCCACAGGAGGGATGGCCATGGTACAGTTCCTTCTCTATTCTTTCGGGATTTGGAGCATGCACACCCATGTGCCAGCCATGTTTTCCAAGCCACCAGATTCAGGACTTGAACCATACAGTCAGTCATGTGGAATTTATTCACTTTAACCACATGCCACCCGCTGACCCATATTATTTTTTAAAATTTTTTGAGAGGTTTTTTATTTTATTTTATTTTTTATTTTTGCTATAGGGTGCGTGCGCTTGCCAGAAAGACAGAGAGAGACAGAGAAACAGAAAACGAGAAATCACCCCCCCGGGGGGGGGATGGCCACACCGCAATCCCTTC